GGTGGGACCTGGGGACTTGAGAAGCCGCCTGAGTAACAGAGCAGGGAGCTCCATGGCTCTGAAGCGCTCGAGGGCTGATAGACACCCCCCAGAGGTTCCGACCAAAAGGGCTAGCCTTTGGCTTGGAATGACCTTCGACAGGGACTCTCCGGGCGAGGGGGCGTGGAGGAGTCCGAGAAGGGGTCAACCCTCTCCGTGTGGAATCTTGGAACTGGGAGGCATGCTGACCGACACTGAGAGGGTGGAGAAATGCGCCCCAAACAGGGGGGAGACCTCAAGGTACAACTAGATTCTACGAGAAGGGACAAGGACATACAAGAGGACGACATGGATGACAAAGCTATTCAGTCGCCCTTCACAAGGAGTATCGTGGAGACGGAGGTATCAAAGAAATTTGTGGTACCAAGATTCAAAGTTTATGATGGGCGTTCTGATCCGGAAGCTCATTTCAGACAATACAAGCAAATGATGTCCCTGTACCACTTAGATCACCAGCTACTATGTCGAGTGTTCTCTATGAGCCTAAGAGACTCTGCTATGAAATGGTTTGAAACCCTCCCCCTAACAGTATAGGATCTTGGAAGGAGATAACCAGACAATTCTCTACCCGATTCATTACAGGGAGCATGCGCTCCAAGGATGTTGGGTCACTGCTGACCCTGAGACAAAAGGAAGGCAAAACACTCTGCCAATACGCCACTCGATACTGGGAGAAATTGAATGAGGTGGATAGATGTTCCGAGGTCATGGCAGCCGCCTCCTTCAGGCTTGGCCTCTCATGGGACACCGACCTCTATCGGTCCCTAACCAAAAAGACACCCATAGACATGGGAGAGCTGATGGCTCGAATCAATAAATAATCCTGGATAGAAGATGAAATGGTGGGGGGCAAAGGGAAGACCCTGGCCCCAAAGAAGAAGGAAAAGGAGAAAGAGGGGGCCCCTTCCCAGAAGGGATTGGTGCCTCCGTCAAGAAGTTCTNCTGATGTGATTGAAGATCGATTCAGGGTTCGACTACGACAATTAGAGGAGGACAATGTGAACGTCCCAAATCGGCTCGATGAATTTGCACTCTCCGACGGAGGATCTTGAGACTTGCAGCAGACCTGAGAATTCTCCGTCAGGGTGGTGGGACCTGGGGACTTGAGAAGCCGCCTGAGTAACAGAGCAGGGAGCTCCATGGCTCTGAAGCGCTCGAGGGCTGATAGACACCCCCCAGAGGTTCCGACCAAAAGGGCTAGCCTTTGGCTTGGAATGACCTTCGACAGGGACTCTCCGGGCGAGGGGGCGTGGAGGAGTCCGAGAAGGGGTCAACCCTCTCCGTGTGGAATCTTGGAACTGGGAGGCATGCTGACCGACACTGAGAGGGTGGAGAAATGCGCCCCAAACAGGGGGGAGACCTCAAGGTACAACTAGATTCTACGAGAAGGGACAAGGACATACAAGAGGACGACATGGATGACAAAGCTATTCAGTCGCCCTTCACAAGGAGTATCGTGGAGACGGAGGTATCAAAGAAATTTGTGGTACCAAGATTCAAAGTTTATGATGGGCGTTCTGATCCGGAAGCTCATTTCAGACAATACAAGCAAATGATGTCCCTGTACCACTTAGATCACCAGCTACTATGTCGAGTGTTCTCTATGAGCCTAAGAGACTCTGCTATGAAATGGTTTGAAACCCTCCCCCTAACAGTATAGGATCTTGGAAGGAGATAACCAGACAATTCTCTACCCGATTCATTACAGGGAGCATGCGCTCCAAGGATGTTGGGTCACTGCTGACCCTGAGACAAAAGGAAGGCAAAACACTCTGCCAATACGCCACTCGATACTGGGAGAAATTGAATGAGGTGGATAGATGTTCCGAGGTCATGGCAGCCGCCTCCTTCAGGCTTGGCCTCTCATGGGACACCGACCTCTATCGGTCCCTAACCAAAAAGACACCCATAGACATGGGAGAGCTGATGGCTCGAATCAATAAATAATCCTGGATAGAAGATGAAATGGTGGGGGGCAAAGGGAAGACCCTGGCCCCAAAGAAGAAGGAAAAGGAGAAAGAGGGGGCCCCTTCCCAGAAGGGATTGGTGCCTCCGTCAAGAAGTTCTTTCAAAGGGATCCACACTGTGTTTAATGAGTCCATCTACAAACTCCTCCACAAGATCAAGAAGGAATTCTTTTTCAAATGGCCGCCTAAGATGCAAGACGATCCGTCCACCAGAAACCAGAAGGTGAGGTGTTCATATCACCAAGACGTGGGGCATCTCGTCGAAAATTGTAGGGTCTACAAGTCTTTCTTGGAGAAATTAGTACAAAAAGGACACTTGAAGGAATATATCGAGGAAATAACGTCGGTGGAGGCCCATGGTGCCAACAGTTAAGCCACTATCCGAGACAATGTCATTGATGTCATCCACGTTTGCTCACTAGATCGACCGACTATTAATACCCTCAGATCCGATCTTAAGAGGATAGCCTTTACAAGAAAGGTGGAGGAAAGGGATGGGGCCGACCCACCAAGAGGCCCCAGACGAACGAAGGAGGTATCACTTTCTCCAATGCTGACCTGGTAGGCGTGGTCCTCCCCCATAATGACGCCTTGATCCTAACTTTGAAGATTAGTGACTTTGACGTCAAGAGGATCTTGGTGGACTTCGGAAGTTCTTCAAAGGTGATGTACTTCGAAGTCCTGAAACGCATTGGTCTTGGTTCTGAAAGCCTTACCAAAATCAGTATGCCCCTCGTTGGATTCAATGGCTTGTATGCCTTACCCTTGGGAAGGATGATGTTGCTAGTCACTGCTGGGCCCGTTATAATCAACATGGAGTTCGTGGTAATCGACTTCAATTTGCCTTACAATATAATCATGGGGCGGGTTTGGCTACATGCACTTGGGGCAGTACACTCCACCTATCTTTAGAAGTTAAAATTCCCCACCCTTGAAGGGGTAAGGGAGATCCGTAGGGACCAAGCTTCTGCCAAGAGTTGTTTCTACGTAGCGGTGAAGGTAGGGGTCACCTCCAAGGAGAAGGAGCGAGTCCTAGAGAAGGTCCTAAATAAATAGCAATTACAGTCCAGGCGATTGGGAGTCGACGAGCTGCGAATCAATTCGGTAGACCGCTCGGTAGAGGATCTTTGGAAGGTATTTTTAGTGGAGGGAAATGAAAAAAGATACTTCCTGATCGGCTCCACTATGTCCCCAGTCGAGCAGGAAGAGATGGCTAATTTTTTAAAGAGGAATGTAGATATGTTTGCATGGGATGTCATGAAAATGAAAGGCATAAGTCCCGACGTTATAACTCACAGGCTTCACGTTGATCTCGCTCATAAGCCGGTGAAACAAAAACCTTGGTGCATGGCGTCGCATCGCGCTCGAGCGGTAAATGAAGAAGTGGAGAGACTCTTGGAGTTTAGTGTCATCCGGGAGGTACAGTTCCCGAAATGGCTATCAAACACAATTTGTGCAAAAAAAAGGGTGAAAAATGACGTGTTTGCGTGGACTTCACTGACCTGAACAAGGCTTGCTCCAAGGATGACTTTCCTTTCCCAAAGATGGACTAGCTGGTGGATGCCACAGTGGGGCACCGACTCATGACCTTCTTAGGAATGGAGTATGCGCTCGGAAGAATTAAGGAGTACCTCAGGGTCCTCCCAACCCTGTCCGTCCCGAAGAGAGGGGAGATGTTGTTCCTTTACTTGGTTGTGTTAGAGTTCGCTGCCAGTGGTGTACTGGTCGATGAGCATGAATGAGAATAGAAGCTAGTAAACTATGTAAGCAAGGTTCTATTGGACGTGGAGACAAGATACTTGCCCCTAGAAAAATTGGCATTGGCCCTGATCACAGCCGCAAGGAAGTTAAGGCATTACTTTCAAGCACACCCAATCACTGTCCAAACGGATTAAGAGCTTAGACGAACTTGAAGGATCGTAGGGTTGAGGAGTCTGGGAGTACTTTTTGTACCCCGAGGTATAGTCTAAGAGTAAGTGAGCTGCTTGGCCAAACTTGTTGCTGATGTACCCCCAGACGATGTCGTCAAAATTGACCAAGCGTCGAGGAGGGGGAGCAGCTTCGGTGTTGGAGACTGCTGCACAAAAGGACATTAGAACTTGCATAAAATTCATTAAAAACTAAGGAGACTGAGCAGAAAGGAGAAGTCGATGTACTTGTTATTCACCACTCTGTGGGGCACCACAAGCTGTCGTACTTGGGGTTGGCCCCCCTTTCCCAGGTGCCGCTGAAGACTAATAAGTCGTCCTTATACCCCTTGTCGGAATTCGAAAGGTGGGTGATAAGATACATGGAAGGGTCTCAGGCTTTCAGGTAGAAGTTTTGTTGGGGCATCACCCTTAGCAAGGTGTAACAGAATAAGATGTTCTCGAGGTCGAGGTTGACCCCGAGGCGTCTATTGAGGGCAACAACCCCCATGATTATCCTAAAAATATTAAGGCAATACTGTCTCGGAAAGAGGCGGAACCAAGATAGGAATTGGAGGAGGAGTGGATGGAGGGGAAACCTAATCCCACCCTCTATGATAGCCTTGGTGTAGAAGGGCATGACGTCCTCGGCGTCGACGTTGGCACGATGACGACTAGGGATAACTCGTCCACGACAACGCTACGAGGGATGTCGTAGTAGGTTTTGAAGTTAGTAATTTGTTGGTAACCCTTGACAGTGTACTTCCTCGGCCTAGTGGTTCTAACCTCTTAGACCTCGGCGACAGGGGGCGTTTCGGCATGGTTCAGAAGACGAAAGATAGTGTCCAAAGAGGTGCTCTCTAAATATTGGAAACCTAAGGGTCACCACAGAAGGCAAAACGACAAAGAAGACGAGGGGACTGCATTGTCCTATCGGAGATTGGATGAGAGAGGATAGATGGCGAGGAATCGCCGAAAAAACAAAAGAAAAAGAAAGGGAGGCGAGTTAAAAGAGAAAAATGAGGACGAGTAAACTCACCAAACTAAGAAAATGTAGAAACAACGAACAATGGCTTTCATGAAGAGAATGACAGCAAGATCGAGCGAACATCAACGACTTCGATGGAACTCTGGCAAGGTATGCTTCTTCGGTTAGCTGGGATTTCAAAAGTATGAAGAAGAGGGCAAGGTTCTGTTTATATAGCGCTTGTCTCCATCATTGCACACAAGACACGAGGAAGGGTGCATTTAATGCGCACAACCTCCGAAGGCGGGATTGCGACTGCAGAATGATGATGTGGTTGAGCCCTTTTCATCTTTCGACGACACGTCTCCCATGTCGTACAAAGATCAAAGGGCTAAGGGGCAGTTAATAGGACATTTCTGGGAAGGAACAAGGGTCAGACACGTGTCCTCGACATCGAGGACCCTCGAGCAGTCTGAAGATGGCACGTGTCCTCGGCTCTGAGGACTCTCAATCAATTTGATGATGACATGTGTCTTCGGGACCGAGGACCCTTAAGCAGTATGATAATGACACTTGTCCTCGGCACCAAGGACACCTTTCAGGCTCCACAATGAAGACGTGTGACGGCACCTCCTTTTCTCTGGTTCAGACGCTGGTCCCCTACATGATAAGATTCCAAGGGTTTCTTGGACAAGCCACCTCGGCTCTTAGAGGGATTATTGACGGTTACAACCCATAATTAGACTATAAATCACTAGCTTGCCTTCCCAATGAAGTCAGAATGACAAAAGGGATATGACCAGCAACCAAAAAGAGTTAGACACGTGGCACGATGTACAAAATAAGGGGTAAATTGACAAAAATACCCCTTCTGACAAGCAGTCGTCCCAGAGAATCATTAATAAGCCCTTAGAAGGATGGGACACCCATGATGGCTTGAGAAGCTGAGAAGAAGGAGCATTAAATGCTCTAAGGCCTGAGCATTTAATGCCCGTGCATAGAAGAAAGAGTATTAAATGCTCGGGAGCCTGAGCAATTAATACCAGGGTCTCCCGATGCAAAATAGGAAGTGCATTGCCCAATAACTTTGTACTATCTACTGCCTCACCTATCAGTAATGATGAGTCCTTGAAGGTATAAATAGTGGGAAAAACCCAATGACAAAGGTACGCAAATTTAATTCTCAAGAGCCATACACAATGCTTCTCTTTCTCCTCTTATAAAAATTGACTTGATCGTCAGAGGAGATATGCCGGAAAACACTTCGGCGCCCTTCTAACCCTTCTTTTGAGTGTCAGGAACCGCCTAAGAGTTGCCGTAATCAATTAGAGAGCTTTGGAAGCAATTCATCACCACTCCTTAGGCCATCTTGGGCCACCCTTTGCCATAAGATCGTCGACTTTCGAGATAAACACGAGTTTACCAAGGGAGAAAACTGTCTTTTTTATTTATTGTGCAAAAATCACCACGCACATATATATACTTAATATTTCATGTATTCATTTCAACTTTAATTATTGATTTTAACTCTAATGATGTTCATACCATTATGAGTAATAACAAAATAGTACATTACCACTTTTTTGTTTCCCCACATAATCGACTCGGTAATTTTTGGTCTTCTAATTCTAACCGAATGAATTTATTTGAGGTTTTAATATTTTTAGGCCAAAAATTTTTTGTGGCTACAAGAAAGCTTGAAAAGTTTTTCCTAAGTTTGATGTTTGAGTTTTATGAACATGGAAAAATCAAGAGTTTATGGTAATTACAAAAAAAATTTTAAACGTTTTCCCTCTTTCCTATTGAGTTTCAAGAATTGCTATAAAAATATTTTTTCTTGGTGTATTTGTTTGATGTGAAAGTATCCTCTCTATATCGTAAAACTCGATTCTTAGGTAATCATCTTTGTCCTTATTTATATGTGTGGGGTCTTGCAATATTCCCAAAAATAAAAAGAGCTTGTGGCTTGTCCTTGTATGTTGATGGTTGAATAATTACTTTCAACTTCATCTCTTCATTATTTTTTTTTTCATTCTATCTTGGAAAAAATATTTCAAGATATCTGTAAAAGCATTGAATAACTAGTAGTTAGAGAAGTAAGATTTTTGTGATCCTCTTTTCGGGTCATGTTTATGATATAATCGCATGTTAGATAGTGTATCTCTTCATTGAGTGTGTATTTATAATGTCAAATAAAATTAGATTTTACAAAATAATGATCAATAAATAGACACTATTTTATTTAGTTTAATTCTACTATTTTTGCTTAATGCATGCCAAATTAAGGTGTTGTAATTGCAATAATCACAATAATTTATCTGATACTTTGATTAAATTTTTGTGTCAGATGTTTGCATCTTGAGCTGTATATTGAACAGTGAAAAATCTGAAAAGGTATTGGTTTATGTACCTTTGAAAAATATTATTTATTTGGGCCAAACAAATAGAGATTGAATTTTTTTTAGCCTTTGATTCCCTACTTTCCAAAAAAAAGAAATTAAAATCACAATTTTATTGAGCTTAATTCAGTTATTTGTAATGTCGAGGTTACTTTTTCTAATTTTGCTGCAACATAAAATATTCCTAATGAAATTGTCCACGTGTAAAACATGTGTATACCAACTAGTGGGTATAGAGGTTGGTTTGCCCAAACTCTTGGAACTTAAGAAACCATTTGGTAATAAGTTGAGAGACCTACTAGAAGGCTCATATAATAGTTTGCGAGGTGTTATTATTCAGTTGCGGGACAAACTTTGACAAGGATGTTGTGAGTCATTCATCAACTTAATTCCAAGGGTAACTCAAGTGGTAACAAGGACAAACTGTAAATTCAAACATTCTGAGTTCAAATCTTGATAATTCCTTGGGAGTAGGTCATGAGGGATTTATCCCTCATGAATACTCTAGTCTCGGTGTGGATAACTTGCCTTTGACTAGATTGGGGAGGGATTTATTGAGGTGCACGTAAGTTGGCCCCAGACACCGCTTGCCGTTGAATCAAAAAAAATAAAAAATACCTCAACTTGTATATACAAATGTCAAAACTTGAATTTTGGTGTTTTTGTGTTCATCTGGACTATGCTTCATGTAGGCATGGATGATGGTAGTTCGTGTGCCATGCAATTCATTATTATGTATGCTTTAAATTTATGGAGATATCAGCCATGTTCTAATTGAACTGTATTGTATCACATTTGATTTGCTTACAGTCTAATCTTGGATCATTGAAAAAAGGGCTCTTTATGATGTTTTGATTTCTCCCAGGAGCGCTTTCCGGATCCACAATCTTTGGTAAAAGATCTTAATCATAATGGTTTCAAAGCAATCTGGATGCTTGACCCGGGGATCAAATATGAAGAGGGTTACTTTGTTTATGATAGTGGTTCTGAAAGAGACCTCTGGATTCAAACAGCAGATGGAAGGCCTTTTGTTGGTATATGTCTTTCTTTTGTCAACATATAAAACCAAATTCTAACACACTGAATGTATTAAATTTTACCTCTGTTTCTAGGGGAGGTGTGGCCAGGGCCTTGTGTTTTCCCGGACTTTACACAGTCAAAAGCTCGTCTGTGGTGGGCTGGTCTTGTTAAAGGTTTCATTGCTAATGGTGTGGATGGTATATGGAATGATATGAATGAGCCAACTGTCTTTAAGGTGCGGCTAGAACATTTTTCTCAACAAATTCTTCCACTGGTTCTTTGTCTCAGTGCTTTTTTTTTTCCAGGTTGTAACAAAGACGATGCCTGAGAGCAATGTTCATGCGGGAGATCTTGAACTTGGTGGTTGTCAGAATCACTCACATTATCACAATGTATTATTCTTTTACTCTAGTTCTTTTTCATGGTAAATTTCAATCCTAAAATTTGGGTAAAGATCATGTATTCATGTAGATATTTCTTTGTTTCACTGGATATGTATGCTTCCGAACTTCCACTAATGGTGCTGGTTTGCTTATTTCAGGTTTATGGTATGCTGATGGCAAGATCAACTTATGAAGGCATGAAATTAGCTAATGAAAACCAGCGCCCATTTGTTCTTACTCGAGCTGGGTTTATAGGTAGCCAACGGTATGCTGCAACATGGACAGGAGATAACCTTTCTACGTGGGAGCATCTCCATATGAGTATATCCATGGTTCTACAACTGGTAAGTGGCTTGGGTATTGTGTGCTGTGGGCCGACAAGCTGACAATATTGAGTTTTGTGTTTTCATCTTGATATTAATGAACATCACGTTCTCAGTTGCCCTTCTCATAATACCCACTTATACCTTCCCTCTAATAAACCTGAACTCGTAATTTGTACTCTTGTACAGTCCTATACTATTTTTGATTATTGCAGCACCATGGATTTTAAAGCACACTATTGTGCTGTTAAAGTGCTTGTGAAGCTGGCCTACATTAACTGCACATAACTTGAAAATAAACATTTAAGAAACTTGTAGTTTCCACTTATGAACGTAATTAGTTGCTAACCGAAAGACTTGGATGAATCTGGTGGAGTTGAACCTGTTATTTCTGGGTCTGAGTCATTACCTTATCCAGTGCACCTACTTGGGAAAGTGCACGAAGATACAAAATTGTTTCCGTGATGGGGCAGGCTTGATTTACTTGTCAAACATATTCCATATGCACAGTAGTATAGCCAATTGAAACAATCTCTACCATCGTACAGTCTGGAAAAGCTGGATATGTGAAGCCTGGTATACTATAAATCATTGGGTCCTTTGTCATTTATCATGTTTTTAGCTTTAGGTGTCAGTTTGTGAACCTCCACATCCACACATATTTTTCCCTCTTCATCTTCACGCTGAACTTAATTGGATAGAATTCAAATTATTGAAAGGTCATGTATGGGTTCCAATTCTCTTTAACTTCAACACTGTTGCACTAGACCCAGGTTGGGTTTTACCCTTGCAAATTGCAATGTTTACATGGAAAGAATAAAGTAGGGAATCTAATCTCCCCTCGGCCTACCCTTGAGCGGGGGGACCATATTTCGTGTACTCTGTAGGGTCTATCAAGTGACTTATTGTGCTTTTGGTGAACTTGTGGGATAGACTCAATAGTCCTAGTTTTTGTATACTTAATCTTTTGAAACATTTTATCAGAGATCAATCTCTTACAAAGATTTTCCCTGTTTTTCCTTTTCTTTTGATGAAATTCATAGGCTTATCTCGAGAACTCGTACATTTGACATTTAAGTCGTGTGTTATCATACCAATAGTGGTCTTAGATCGATGATAGTTTGTTTGGAGGGTAATTTCAGCAAGAAATATCCTTGGATTAGAGTTTCTCTTTAAGAAGTCTTCTTGGCGATATGTCATGCTTTTGCAGATGTTTCGTTTGGGGTTTTTAGCATACTTCTCAGCCTGTGAACCCCTCTCTTTCTCTCTCTCTCTCACACACACACACACAGAATATGGTATGTGGCACATAATTAAACCTGAACCTCTGTTTAAAGAATTATTTTATGTTGATTAACAGATCCTTTGTGTATATTTTATACGCAGAATATGGTTGGTTAGAATAAATTAAAAAGAATGTAGTTCATCAGCCAAAAGTTGACTAATATTTAAGATTAATTGTTATCATGTTTTATTTTGATTACCGGAGAAACTTACACCACTCTTGTCCTATGAGCATATATATTAAAGGTTGTGTATATGCACGTTGATGTTTCCCTTTAAAGATGAATTTTAGACATGGGTTACTCACCCTTTATTACTACTGTAATTAAATGAACTTATCCAAGAAATGCATTACGCTACAATTCCTCGTTATGCATGCTTTTGCTCTTGTTTTGAGCAACTTGCCTTGTTGAGACATCACTTATTTTGGTTTACTGATTCAGATTTGTGAGGGGGAAAATGAATTTTTGTCAATGTTGAGTTAATATCCAGCTAAAATGTTTGACTTTTAAATATAATGCATTGCTCTGATGAATTACAGTTTGAAATCAGGGGCTTAGTGGTCAGCCACTTTCAGGACCAGATATTGGTGGTTTTGGTGGGAATGCAACACCCAAGCTGTTTGGAAGGTGGATGGGTGTGGGTGCCTTGTTTCCCTTTTGCCGTGGCCATTCTGAGACTGACACGATTGACCACGAGCCTTGGTCTTTTGGGGAAGAGGTTGGTTCACTTTATATCGAAATGCTAGTACCTTACTTCAAACCAATTGGTTTTTTAGATGTGGATGTTTCATTTTAATCAAATGATGGTAGGAGAATTTGGCAACATCACTCAAAGGGATTTGGATGTTGTTATATTGAGAGGATTAATGTAACACAATATTAGATACAATATTAGGGAGAAAGAGAGAGGTTAAAAACTTAACTTAGCTTTCATACATCACTTGTATTTATAGTTAACCTATAATAACAATAATTTCACTTACATCATCTTACTATTTAACAAATTACACATATTACCCTACTATTCTTAACACTCACCCTCAAGTTGGACTATATATATCACATAATCTAAGTTTAGAACAAATAGCTGTAAGACGTGTACGACTCAATGCTTTGGTAAACATATTTACAAGCTGATCTTCAGATTTCACAAATGGAGTTGTAATCTCCCCAGTTACTATCTTGTTCCGAATAAAGTGACAATCAACTTCAATATGCTTAGTTCTCTCGTAAAACATAGGATTGACAGCGATATGGATAGCTGTCTGGTTATCACAGAACAACTGTAAAGGAAGTTGAACTGAAAACCCAATTTCTTAGAGGAAGTGTAGTAGCCACGTTAGCTCACTCGTCGCATGTGCCATTGTCCTATACTCAGCCTCAGCACTGGATCTTGCTACCACTGGTTGTTTCTTACTTTTCCATGAGACAACATTACCTCCTAAGAAAGTACAATAACCAATAGTTGATCTTCGATCAGAAGGAGAGTCAGCCCAATCAGCATCTGAGAAACCTTCCACTCTAAGGTGTTCATTAGCTCGATATAACAATCCAAGTCCAGGAACACGTTTGAGATATCGCAAAATACGAGTAACTGTCTCACAATGTGATACTCTAGGACACCCCATGAATTGACTTACTATACTGACTGCATACGAAATATTCAGTTGAGTAATAGTTAGATAATTAAGCTTCCCAACCAATCTGCGATACCGGCCTAGATTTTCAAACAGTGCACCATCATCTATCAAAAGTTTCTGATTCGGATCCATAGGAACATCAATAGGTCTCCCACCGAGCAAACCTGCTTCCTCAAGCATGTCAAGTATATATTTCCTCTAGGATAAACAAATACCCTGTATAGATTGAACCACCTCAATACCCAAGAAATACCTGAGTTTTTTCAAATCTTTAGTATGAAATCGATCCTGTAAGAATATTTTTAATTTGACAATCCCTTCAGAGTCATTTTCAGTAATCACAATATCATTTACATAGACCACCAATAGGACATATCCAGCATCTGTCTGTCTATGAAACACATAATGATCTGTCTGATATCGAAGAAGACCAAACTCTAAAACTGCATCTGAAAACTTACCAAACCATGCCCTCGTTGACTGCTTCAAACTATACAAAGATTTTTTTAACCGATATACACTCTTACCATACTCCCCCTGAGTAGTAAACCCAGGTGGCTACTCCATGTATACCTCTTCAACTAAGCCACTATGTAAGAAGGCATTCTTGACGTCTAACTGAAACAAGGGCCAATCAAGATTAGTCGCCAAAGAAATCAAGATACAAACAGAGAAAATTTTGGCAACAGGAGAAAAAGTCTCTTCATAATCAACACCATAAGTCTGAGTAAAATCTTTTGCAACAAGCCGGGCTTTGAGACTCTCCACGGATTCATCGGGATGAAATTTAACAGTACACACCCAAAGATAGCCAACAGTTCGTTTACCAGGAGGTAAAGGAACGAGATCCCAAGTCCCATTATAATGTAAGACATCCATCTCCTCCTCCATAGCTTTCCTCTAACCCGGATTAGATAATGCATCCTGTAAATGTTTAGGAATAGATATAGCAGATAATTGGGAAGTAAAACAAGAGAAGACAGGAGACAAGGCATCATATGACACAAAATGAGAAATAGGATGATTAGTAACACAAGAACGAGTACCTTTGCGAAGAGCAATAGGTAAAGAGTCTAAATTACTTGATGTACCAAGATCAGAAGGCGACAAGGAAGATGGTACGGGCACCTCAGTCAATGGGCGAGGACGGCGAGAGTAGACATGGAGAGGTAAAGTAGATGGTAACATAGTAGGCAGCGAAATATCTGAAGATGAGGAAAGAGATGGTAGAACAGGAGATGACCCAAAGTCCAGATCTAGAGGCTGAGAAGGTGCTGAAAAATATGGAACAGATTCTTTAAACGTGACATCGGCACCAGTGAAGTATCAGTGCAGAGAAGGAATGTAACAACGAAATCTCTTCTGCGTGGGGGAGTAACAGAAGTACACATTTGGTAGCTCGAGGATCAAATTTGTCAAACCCAGGGCCCAAATTGTGAACATAATAGACACAATCAAAAACCTTAGGAGTCAGGGAAAATAAGGGCTTACCAGGAAAAAGGACAAAATATAGACTGTGCCCATTTAATACAGAGGGTGACATACGATTGATAAGATGACAAGCAGTAAGAACATCACTCCAAAAATATCGGGGAATATTCATCTGGAATAACAGGGCACGGGTGACTTCCAACAAATACCGGTTCTTGCGTTCAGCAACACCATTCTGTGGAAAGGTATAAGCACAAGAAGTCTGATGAATAATGCCAGTTTGAGTAAGATAAGCTAAAAAAGGATCAGATTCATATTCCCGAGTATTATCGGAACATAAAGTACGTATACGACAACCAAACTGAATTTTTATTTCTTTACGAAAAGTCTCAAAGATAGAGAATAATTCAGATCGAGCTTTCATCTAAAACAACCAAGTCACACGAGAATAATCATTTATAAATGTCACAAAATAAGAATATTTATTAGATAAAATATTCTTTATTGGATCCCATACATTAGAATGGACTAATTCAAATGGATTAGACACTCGATTATTGACCTTAGACTGAAATGATACACGGTGATGCTTACTAAGTTGACAAGCTTTACAAGACAAAGACAACACACAACTAAGACTGAGAACTTGACGCTTCAGATTCTGGAGAGAGTGATGTCCAAGACGACAATGTCACTGAAAAAGAGACAACGAGGTCTGTAGGGCCCGAGTAGGGGAATCAAAATCAAAGTAATATAGGCCACCAGCTTCATGCCCCGTATCAATCTTTCTCTTCGTCTTGAGATCTTGAAAGACACAATAAGATGAATAAATAGTCACAGAACAATTGAGAGAATGAGTAATTTTACTAATGGAAAGTAAACTAAAAGGAAACTGAGGGACAAATAACACGGAAGATAGGGACATATCAAGACTCAAGTGAGTAGTCCCAAGACCTGAAACTTTAGAACAAGAACCATTAGCAAGAGTAACACTATGTGTGGCAGTAGCAGGTTGATAAGTAGAAAAAATAGCAAACGCACTAGTCATAAAGTCAGAAGTGCCAGAGTCTATAATCCAAGGACTGTGAGTGGAGGACAATAAACAAGTAGAAACAATACTTGACTGGGCAAAAGTAGCAGTGGAGGAAGATGGGACAGCCTGTTGTTGTGACAGAAACTGAGCATACTCCTCTCGATCCAGTGTAATAGTGACCGACCTAGTGTCTGGTAGAGCTGACCGAGATATGGGAGCAACAACAGAGGTATCATCCTGATAAGAAGCCTGGTTTGCAGCACCAGAAGGTTTTCCATGTAAATCCCAATAGAAATCAACAGTGTGCTCTCCACGACCATAGTGAGTACAAGAACAGGGTCCACTACAGCTCCCACGACTACCCGTACGACCTCCTCGACCACCACGTCTACCACGTCCACCTCGATGACCATCACTATGGCTACTAGGAACCACAAGAGCTGAGCGATCAGTAGAGACACCATGATCAATGCCTGAAGGAGTAGACAGTGTAGCACGCTGTAAACGAGAGAACACCTCAAGCAGTGATGGAAGACTAGAGCCACCTAAAATCTGAGAACGAATAGCCTCATATTCAGGTTTCAATTCTACCAAAAATCTAACAACATTCAGGTCCTCATGTTGCTTCTGTCAAATTGCTGCATTAGTAATAAAAGGATGGTAGGTTTTCATCTCCTTACAGACTTCCCGAACATGAGAGTAATAATCTGCAAGGCTCAGAGTACCCTGCTCTAACCGGAAGTGTTCCTTGCACAACTTATACGCACGGGTAAAATTACCAGTACCAGAATACATAGTGGCCAAGTGATTCCATATCTCCTTGGCAGTGTCAAGGTAGAGTAGAGTGGAACTAATACTAGGCTTAATGCTATTCAGTAGTAAAGACATAATTTGAGCATCCTCTTGTTCCCACTAATTATACCCAAGAGTATCTTCCTTGGGTTTAGGATCCACCAAATATTTCTTAAATCCTTTGTCTCGAAGAAATACCTGAGCGGATTGGGACCATAAAGTATAATTGGTCCCATTGAGTTTAACAGAGGTAATGGGACCATTGATAAGAATGGGGGGTGGCAAAGTCGAAGTAAGAGACTTGGTATCTTGCTTGGGTTCCATTACAGTGCAGCAAATATGGAACACGAAGTGTTGCAATGTAGGACCAGAGAAAAGAGGGAAGCTAGAAGACTCAACCGGACTGGCTGAGTTTGCTGGATCACTGAACCGGGAAGAATAGGCTGACTGGACTGCTGAATCGGACAAGAGAAGCACATTTGAGGGTTGAATCGGACCAGAAATACCCACTGAACTGGGAAGAATAGCCTGACCTGAGGGCTGAATGGGACCAGAAATACCCACCGGACCACTGAACCGGGAAGAATAGGCTGACTTGACTGCTGAACCGGACTAGATAAGCCCACTGAAGCACTGAACCGGACTGAACTGGACCTAGACCTCACTGAACCGGGCCTGAACCGAACTGAACTGGCCTTGAACCGGGCCTGAACCGGTTTGGTCTGAGGCTAATGGATCTGAGTGGAGTTTGGATTTGGGTATGGATCAGGGTCTAGGCTTTGGATGTCTTCTTCTCCAACGAGCAAACCTTAATGCTCCACACTGCTCCACACACAGACAAGCGACACAACATAACCGAAGACCACAACGTCGACCACAGTCGACTACACCAAGAACAACCACCACCAACCACAACGTCGACTATACCAAGAACAACCACCACAACGTCGACCACAGTCGACTACACCAAGAACAACCACAAGAACAACCACCACCAACCACAGCAGCCACACCAGTCGACTACCACAACCACCAGCACAACCAGCACAAACACGATGAACAGCACAACAGTTAAAATTTGTATTGATTTTGCTTTGATAATATGTTAAATTGAGAGGATCAATGTAACACAATATTAGATATAATATTAGGGAGAAAGAGAGAGGTTAAAAACTTAACCTAGTTCTCATACATCACTTGTATTTATAGTTAACTTATAATAACAATAATTATACATACACTATCTTACTATTTAACAAATTAAACATACTACCCTACTATTCTTAACAGATATGAATATATCCTTTCGTGCAATTAGTGTGAAGCATATGATAGTGTTAGTAAATATAATTGGCTGGAGCCTGATCTGAATTTTTTTTTGAATACAATGCTTATTTATATTTGCACAGTACATTTAATTTTCCTGACTACAACACTATTTTTTCCATACAAGTAGTGTGCCTCATTTGTTAATCTGAGTAGTCTATGTTGTATAAGTAATGCCCTGGTTTCCCGCTTGTTGTCGAGGCAAGGTGGTCAATTCTCTCAGGTAAATGCCACTTACGGTGTCCTGAGTAGGGATGTCAGTGGACTGAAGCGGGGGCGGAGAGTGTAGTCTTCATCCCCGTACCCGCTTAAAAAAATTCTGTCCATCCCCGGTCCACCCCTGTTAATGGGTATAGTTTTCATCCCCATCCCTGTCCGCGGGTAAATTTCTAATCCCCGTCCCCGTCCCCGTCCCCGCTTCCTCCATACCCACCTAGGCCCAAACCCAAGTAGCATAATCTAAAATTCTAAATAAATCTAATATTTTAAATAATCTAACAACATTCTAAATAATCTAACACAACATAATGTAGATTGCAAAATGTAAAAATTAAAACAATATAGTATTCTATTTAAAGTGTCATTAGACAAAAAAAGGAGAAACGACACTATTAGAGGGAAAGGAAGGAAAGGAAAATAAAATTGAATTAAGAAAACAATAACACTACACTTGAAGTATCCTAGAAGAATTTTTGTTATTACAATTCATATTACAGCTATAAAGTGTTAAAAGATAAAAAATTAAAATTTTGCTAATTCAATAATTCTACTCAGGATGAAATGCAAAACTATCTTACTCTCTCTTATCTGTTTTTAGAGCATGGTCAATCCAAACTCTTAACAGTTTCAATCAGTGAGTATATATAGAAAAAAGAACAATTAGGAAAAAAAGTTGATAAGATTACCACACAGCAACGTCACTTGTTAGTTTGATTACCATATTTCTAGATTGGTAGTTACAATAAATTTATTTAGTTAGGACTTTGCAGTATTTTTATTTATATATATATTTAACGGGTAGCAGCGGCGGGGGTAAGGGTAAGTCAATCCCCGCCTTCATTCCCGTACGGGTTTATATGGATATCTCCGTATATGTCCACCGTCCAATACGTATAGTCTATCCCCGGTTCAAACGAAGCGGGTTTGAACGAATACCCGTTTTTCTTCGGTCCACTGCCATCCCTAGTCTTGAGGTGCTAGAGGTGATGATTGGTTATTGCCTTATTGGTGGACGTCTCTTGTTGGTCACGGGATCTACTTTCATCCATCCTATAACATAACAGTCCATAGTTCATGATATTATGAGTGAATTTAGATATTATCACATTCATAACAAAAGCTAAGAACAACTTTAATTTGACTTAGTTAGCAATATATATAAATTTCGTTTTACTATCATAGATGCCACCACTATGTACAAGTAAAAAGATTTAGGATAACATAGTCGTTACTAAGTTATGCAGTTAATATATACATCTTTTACTATCTCAGGTGTTATCGCTGTTTACAATCAAAATTTATTACGATAGTGATGCCATCACGAAAGTTAGGGAATCTCTCGGAGGCACATTCGTTGAACCTATAAAAGGAGCATGGTAGTTCAACTCAGGTTCCACAGGTGCAAGGGTTATATTTGGTTCGTTAGGTTCTGGGTTAAGTTATATGTTTTTGTTATTTGGATTCAAGACCCTGATTGGTTTCTCTACATTAACCCAGGTGACAACAAGACATTTTGCATTACCATTTCAAGTTAATATTGATTGTTGTTTGTAACCTGGTATTGGTGTTTTCAAAAAAAACAAGAAGGGCATCGACTTCCCTAAAGTGTAAGACCCTAAAATTTTCTCTCGAGGTGGTTCATAAATTGAAGAATTAAGATTATCAATATGTGTTGCATACCCATGATTTTAATTTGACCTATTGTTAAACTTATTTGTTATTTTTTTATATGTTTTTTTTTGTTAAGAAACAAAGATTTCATTAAAAAAAACCAAAATTGTAAATGACTTATAATAGTTGGACAAGACACAAGGATCAAAATTTTTGTTTCGGTGCATTATTTCGGTCATCCAGAAAACGGAAATGTTTCGACATGTTCTGAAAATGTTTTGATCCGTTTCGAAAACAAAATAAAAAAAATAAAAAATTTAAGAATTAGTTTTCCAAAATACTGATCAAAATATATTAAAGTATTTTGAAATATCTTGAAATATTTTTGAAATAATTGTGCAAATGTATTGAAATATTACAAAACACCTGAAAATATCATAAAACACCTCAATGTGTTAGAATTTTAATTTCACCAATGAGTTGTTTCGGTATCCTTGAAAACAAAAATGTTTTGGACGTTTCGACTGTTTTGAAACGAAATTTTGATGTTTGACAAGACATCCAAAAACTAAGATATGAAAACATAAAAAAGAAAAAAACTCATGCATGAGCAAGCACTACATTCCACACTTTGTAGTCCAACTTGAAATGATATAACAAAGAGAGATATCTTCAAACTCTTTACCCACGGAGGCCCAAAAGGAAGCCAAAAAGTAAAATCGTTCCCATAGTTCTTGAACCTCTTAACATTAGTCATAGAAAATTCTTGTATTTCTTTCCAACCAAATCACCCAAAAGTAGCATTACAAGCACAACGCCAAAGGGTTTTCCACTTCTTATTCTCACGTCTACTCCAAACATCCAAACATATCATCGAAATATCCAAATATATTTGGCTATATTTATATATTGTTTCAACACATTGATAGTCATTGTGAAAAATTATCCTATTAGGCTAGTGAGTTTATCTCTATCTTATATTTTTCAGAAGTAGGATTGAACCGAAGGAGTAAGTTGAGGAGGCTGCAATTAGAAGTTTAATACTATCTATTCAGTTCTAGGCTATGTTAATTTTCATTATGTTATGTTACTCTTGGGAATGTAACTTTATTCTAGGTATTTTTAAATTATGGATTAATGTTATAAAAAATAATTATTATGTGTTATGGATAGATTACTCCTTACTCACACCAGATTATTATAAAATAGAATTGGGGTGTGACAGTATATATTCTACCCAAGTTTATGTTGAATGTAGAACATTCGTTGGCACCATAAATCCTAAACAATAGTTCGAATTGGATTTTAATCATTAGGTCTTTTGGTAGGTTCTCCAGTCTCTTTATGAATTCTAGTTGTGGCATCCTCTGGCTGTGCTGAATTCTACTTTCTTGGTGCTCAAAACATTATTTAAATCTTTAATGGGGAGATTGATTGAAAAGCAAATACCTAGTGGATTATTGATACAGTTTTCCTATACTTGATCTTCTCTATCATGTTGATGTCATACCTGCTTAATTTGGTCTTCATGGGGTTTATATATTTGCCTTCTATAGATGGTTCAAAGGTTTTCCCCCGTGGCAAGTTTTGTGCTGCATGAGGATGAAATCAAGCTGCATTTTATGCCCGAGTCATTTATTGAACACAATGTAGGGAGGATTTTTCATGTTCTTATTTGCATGTTTTGTCTTTTGAAAGGAAACACTAGCCTTTGAGGGTTTTAGTTGTGATTATAATCATACGTAAGTCTATTTTCCCAAAAGATAAAGGCCAAAAGTCTATGACTTCTTGTACATCTGATCTTTACTTCCTATGTATTGGGGACATCCCAGGCATACGTCCACAAGATGCATTTATTAAAAAGAAAGATAAAAAAGTAGCGGGGAATAGGCATTTGCCTGTTCAACATTACCTTGAAGAGATTACATTTTCTTACAATCAGGAATAATTTATTATTTTAGAGTTAGTTGTATGTTGCTTAAACTTTACCTCCTCTTATAATCCTGGCAATGATAATAATATCTGAGAGGTGGCACCGATTATTTGGGGCATAGGAATGGTAACAAGTTGCCTACTAATTATTTGACTGGAAGGAATTAATGGTAGCTTTGTCATGCTGCTGTTCCTTGTGGTAGTTTGTGGTCTATGAGCGCATTGGTTAATTCGAATAATTGTTGTGTACACAATTTCACTCTGTATAAGTACATAGAGATTTCTGAGCTCATTCTCTTGTGATGGAGTTGAAGTAGTATTTGCATGCTGAAGTGATTAGAAAAGGATTGATTCTCAACCAAGAGACCCATCAATTATTTATGGTTCTTGATAAATGTTTCTGTTTGAGTTTCAGTTTCTAATTTTGGCCACAAATTTGTTATGTGTGAATTTCATTTCTGTTACAGTGTGAGGAAGTTTGTCGTCTAGCACTGAAGAGGCGCTACCGCCTTATTCCACACATATACACTCTATTTTATTTGGCACATACAATGGGCACTCCAGTGGCAACTCCTACATTTTTTGCTGGTGTGTTCTGATGCCGCTAAAATTATTTGTTTCCAATATGCTGGACATAAAATTTTGTTTTTACTTTGATAGGGGCTTAAAGCTTGAAAATTGCTTGCGCAGATCCAGAAGATCCCAGCTTAAGAGGGCATGAGACTTCCTTTATGTTGGGCCCACTTCTCGTACATTCAAGGTTTTCACTTTCTTCCTTTTTGGAGATGACGTACTAGGTGATTGTAGGACTTCAAATGTAGACATATTACTTCATTTCCCTGCTTCAATGCTATTTGGGTTTCCCATGTTTCTCTATGCTTGGGCTACACCTCTTAAGCCTATGGCCTTTTGTTCAAGCCTTAGAGGAGGATTGCGTTGTTGAGTTTGAATCAAGAAAATTTTCACCAAGTGAGCTGGTGAGAGCAGAAGTGCTTTGCTTAAATGATCTCTGCAGTCTAAGCCTGGCATGGCCAAATTATGATTCTTCTCATTCAAATGTTCATCTATAATATTTTAAATTTTTAATCCTTATAACCTTCCCCGTATATAACCAAAGCAAAGGTTTTGAGTTGTAATATCGCTAGTGCTACCTTACTTGGAACTAAACCAATGATATCAGATTCTGTAGACTTTTCACAGTCCTGATCTGGCTTGCAATGTCTCTCTCGGTTTTGGCAATTTTTTTTTTTCAGATTTTAAAATCAAGCCACTCCGAGCTTGACAATCATATACTAGTTCATTAGAGATAATTTTCTGTCCTCCAAGCTCTTCATTCAGTGAACATGAATTTTAGATATATTAGACATGCACATATGCCAAGCCCTAAATGCCGCAGATATGCTAAGCCATGCCATACTGAATTCTCATCTTGTCGTGGCTCGTCTTGGCTTGTTGGAGCCCAAATTACAGATAAGGGCTCAAGAAGGACTGATTACATGTCTAAAATTTCATTTCTTTTATTATATCTTTCTATGGCCTGTCCACACAATGCACATGGTATTTACCATAGCATAATGACATCACTAATTAAAATGTTATATGCAACAATAGCTTTTTAAATTTAAATTTTCTGTTGAGAGATCTTTTGTTTATCGACTATCATAGGTACATTTGATGACTAGATTATTGCCTAATCTTTTATTTATGGAACTTTTTGACATTTGCTTTTCAAAATCTAGTTCAGCAAGCCTATCTTTTGCCTACATCTTCAGGAGTGCATGAGACAGTGATATGTGGAATGAGTAACATGGTCCTGTTGATGTTGTTTGTAGGCATCAGTAACTTTAATGTGCGATAGAAACAAATATCGGTGCTTTTGTGGTCATCCATCTTTCTTTCTTTTTTTCTGCAACTATTTATCTCAATTGATTTTATCTTACTCTTCATCCTGAGAGGTGGGGCTTATAGATCCTGCTTTAATTTGCATTATTTGTACTAACGTCCATTCTGATGTTCTACAGCACTATGTGTGATCAGGAGCTGGATCAATTGCAGCACACATTGCCTAAAGGCATTTGGATGAGTTTTGATTTTGACGATTCACATCCGGTATTTCATCCTGAACATTCGGATCAGATTCTAAAGAGCCTTTCTTGTGTCTGGAATTGGATTCTAGCATTGTTGGTAATCTGTAAACTTCGTTTCATTTTTCCCACTTTCTGTATTGATCAGGATTTGCCAGTGCTATATCTGCAAGGTGGATCAATTATTCCTTTGGGTCTTCCATACCAACATGTTGGTGAAGCAAATCTGACAGACGATTTATCACTGCTTGTGGCTTTGGATGAACATGGTAATTTACTCTTGTCAATCCATCGAAGTCATCTTGGAATGCACTTCATAGGAAGTTCTCATTGGAATTAGCTTTGATTAGGTCAGGTTCCAGTATCTGTCTTGCTTATATGTCCACAGGAGAAATTATTGTGTTCTTTTCAATGGTTTAAGTCTTTTAAGATGCTTACCTCTCTCTCTCTCTCTCTCTGTCTCTCTGAATATATTCATTTTGATGCTCAAGAATTTGGTGGAGTTTGGACCTTTAACGTTATACTATTGTGGAAAAATAATTCAATGTTAAAACATTCTAGAAGATTAGACTTAAAGCTTCCCACCTTGTCATTTCTTTCACGTACTTCCAATATTTGAGTCTGTTAGAAGAAACGTTCTTTGTGTTCGTAATTGCTAATTCAACTTGAAGTCTCTTTTGGTTATTTTGTAGCTTTGTCTGCTATTCCTTTTTGCTGTGTCATTCTCTGTTCTTCCTCCATTCATTCAGTGTAATGCAACATTGTAGGCGACTAATGTCCAGGAATATGGTACTTCTAATAAAAGTGGATTCCAGTTCATCTCTCAGAGAATTAGGCATTCACAGTATAAGAAGCTCTAAGGAAGCGAAGATAGAGAAAACTCTAGGATTTTTGTTGATGTTTGAACCATTGTTATCAGAATTAACTAAACACCTAACGACCCACGATCTGGGTATATCGATTTGAAATTGGGTGGATTTGTGATCCAGATCACTAAAATGTACGACCTCAATTTGTAATACTAACCCTAAATCGATTCGCTTTGGAACATGTACCGTAAATATAAAATACATATTAATAGACTACGTATATATAGATTTGTAGGAATCTGAACAGCTTGAACAGTTTCTGTAGGAATCTGATATACTCTTAATATACATGTTTCAGATAAAAACATAGGTATACAATATCGAATAGTGTGGTATCTTTTTGGCTTATTTAAGGATTTGTCAATCACCTTTTATTTGAAGGTTTTTGGTTTTTTCCTTCCAAGTTCAGTCTTGTTTGGTAGATACGCAGCATTTTTTTCCAGCTGTATTGGATGTTACGTATTTATAGGAATGCACAACTGGCAATAATGGTTATATATATTAGGTTTTTTTCAATTACAGGAAAAGCTGAAGGTGTTCTCTTTGAAGATGATGGTGATGGATACGACTATACTAAAGGTGGATATCTTCTGACAACATATGCTGCTGAACTCCAGTCTTCAGTTGTTACTTTGAGAGTTTCCAAAGTTGAAGGAACATGGAAGAGGCCCAAACGTCGCTTACACATTCAATTATTGCTTGGTAAAGGTGCTGTGGTATGTGTTCTGTCCGCAGAGTACAATGATTTGTCCTATACAGATTGCTTCCACCAATTAACTGCTTCAACACTGGAATTCCTCTCTGTTTTATTGTTATATCTACGTGGGTCTCCTTCAACAGCTTGATGCTTGGGGCACTGATGGAGGGGTTCTGCAAATCATGATGCCTTCAGAAAATGATGTGTCAAATCTGGTGTCTGCAAGCGAGAAGCAGCACAAGATTCGTTTGGGTATGTACTGTCTCTTATAAATTATTTGGCTGCCCACTTCTTCTTTCCCTTTCTTTGGAATCCTCTCCATCCCCTCAAGAAATAAAAATATGATGTACATTGACAAGAATCGAAAAAGGATCCCCAAGGGAGATTAGATGCTTACAAATTGGTTGAATCTCATAACTTTTGGATTTTCTTCAAGCATTAGGGACTGCAAGACAACGTAGTCAGTGTCCTACTTCTGGTTATATATATATATTCCCTATTTTGTGGGATGTTATCTATTTTTTCTAGCATTTCATCTTGTGAAAGAACAAGGGAATCTTCATTCTTATTATGTGTACAATGATGTGTCTCAGTCAGAAACCTTGAAAATATTGACAGGTGGAAACAGACTTCTTCTTTAACACATGTTTAGGAATATCTTCTTGTCGTGTGTTGTTCACTAATTAGTGAGATGCTAATTGCAGAAAGTGCGAAGCCAATTCCAGATGTGGAAAATGTTTCTTGACACAAGGGAACAGAGCTCCTATTGAAATGAAAAGTGGTGATTGGGTACTTAAACTGGTACCTTGGATAGGGGGTAGAATTATTTCTATGGAGCACCTTCCTTCAGGTAATGCTTTTGAAAGCCTTCCTGCCTCAACTGAGAAAGATCTTGATTATCTCGTTTCCTTCTCTATCGTGCATCTGTCATTTAGATCACAGATCAGATCCTATTTCTTTTTCTTTTTCTTCTTACCCCTCTATTGCATATTTGGAAATGGGTAAACTTGAGAATGAGTAAACAGTAAGCTACAAACTTGGATTGGTTGAAAGCTTGTGATTTTTGCCGTGGGAATATGTTTGTTGCTGCCCCTTGTTTCTTTTCTACCATATTTTTCTGGAAACTGTCTTTTGTGACATAGTACTCTACCAAACCTAACTAGTCTTCCAATTAGTACATCAACTGACTTGGCCTTTAATTCCAAAATCACCTCCTAAATTCCGGGAGTTGCGTAAAGTCCTCTGTAGTAACATTTTGTGGTGATATTGTCTTTTTCTGAACAGCAAACAAACTTCTGATAAGGGGCTGGGGATCACTTTAGGTGTAATACTAATGGCCTTTCTAATACTTTGAATTTTCTCTTATCTATATATCTTGTAAAAATGTCTACAAATGGAAAGAAACTTGTAACGAGCTGGGGGAAGGAGTGTGTCCGATATCACATAAAGATGCAAGCACTCCCCCCCCCCACAGCAAGAGGAAAAATAAAAACAATGTTCTATTACAAAACACCCAAATTAATACCCAATTTAAAAAAAATAATAGAAAACATTAGAAAAATGTGTTTACTGTGTGTGAATGTCAACGTGTGTGTGTGTATGTGACCTGCTGCTTTGTTTGTGTGTATGTGATGTGCGGTATGTATGTGTATGTGCGATGGGTGTGTGTGTTCAAGTGCCTTTGTGTGTGTGTGAAAGAAAGGTGAGACAGATAAAGTGCAATTGGAGAGAGATGAGTATATATGAAATGACTATATTGATAGGATGCTATATTACTTGCTTAGTGTGGTGGATTTAATGAAATGAGTATTGAAATTGAGTAGAGTGAATTCTATCTTGAATTGGGCATGTAAATTTGACACAATGTGATTCATAGAATTTGATATTATGTGGGCATGTTATGTAATTATTTTGTCTCGGGAATTAAGTGTATTATTAGCATATGTTATGTGATAATATACTTGTGAATTGTTGTTGGAAAGAAAATGTTGATATATGTGCATTGATATATTGGCATTGTGATAAAGTTTGGTAATTATATACTTTTGATGTAATGGAATATGTTTATATGTGGTTAATTTTGCTCATGTGGCATTCTTTACACATGGGCATGACATAAAAATATTGCAATGGTGCATTACATTGTATTTTCATAGAAGCATCACAACCATGGACATAAGACATGGGTATGGGTATGGGTGTGTGCATGGTTGTCGTCAACACCACACTTAGTGGATGACTGGTAGACTTGGGAAAGTTGGGTCAAAAGGCCAAGCTGAGCTGCATGGTTTGCACGATAAATTGGGTTGGAATTAGCAAGAAAGGCTAAAAGATCCCTCAGGTGCAAAACCCGGTAGTTAGGGTACGTATTTCCTTGGTTTGGTCCATAAAGTGTGTTGATGTACGCAGAACCCTCAGTGGAAGTTCATAAATTCCGTGTGGGTTGGGTTACCCTTGGTGTAAGTCCAAAAATACCCACCCCAAGAAAAGCTTTGGATTTATAAATGTCATTTGATGTGCTACATAAATGACGGATTCATACACATTGGCATAAAAATGTGTTGTGGGAGCCGGTGAATGTTCGGGTTGGTGTGCATGAGTGAGTCTCATTTCATTTCATGCATGACATGATGAATTCTAACATCGAATGCATATTCTTGCTTGGAATGGTGTAGATCATGGATGGTCGTTGCTTGTTAAATGTTGCACGTGACATTTCATATGCATCTAGGTTGAAGAATAGCCTCGGTAGGAAATACTCTATTGGGCATGGCTCACCCTATACGGAAACACATTTCAGGTGCGGGGTTTGTACCAGCGGGAGACTCTCATTCGGGACCTCCAAGATGAAGAAAAAGCCGACTTGTGGCTTTGAATCCATTTTGTAAACCATTGTATAAATTTGGTGAAAGTGGGCTTGTAATCATATGGAAATTAATTGTAATAGAACTTGTATGTATCAACTCTTATATGAAAAACTATATTTTATATGTGTGGGATGTTTGTGGGAAGGTTTGGAATGAATTGGAAATGAAAAACAGGTGAAATAGACAATTTTGGGTAAAACCTACCAGTAGAATGACAAAAACCTACTGGTAGATTACAAGTAGGTTACATGTAGAACTTGTCTAGCAGGTAAAACCTACTGGTAGATTACAGGTAGGTTACAGGTAGAACTTGTCCAGCAGGTAAACCCTACCAGTAGATTACGGGTAGAACTTTTTCAGTGAACAAAACCTACCGGTAGGTTCATAAAAAAACCTACGGGTAGCTTTTTAAAAAAATCTGAAATTTTAAGAATGCATTGCCATACTTTTGGGCTATTGCGACGCCCCTAAAATCAGGGATCATTAATTTACCGTTGACAACCCATCAACCTGCGGAAAGATCCGTGAGTGTCGCTTGATTCGATATCACGCTAATATTATTCCATTATTCAGAATTTTAACTCACACGTATAACTTGTGTTCCTTTAATCATTTAATCCAACCAAGGTCTAATATACCTCATGTAATATTCATTTGTATCATTGGAACCAAGAAAAACAAAGTCCAAAAACATGGTAATTTAGTTTTAAATTTCAAATGGACAGATTGTGTATCGGTATTCTTTGTCTTTTGGACAGACAGTACTGATATACTTTTCTCTTTGGACAAAATTGTATCAGTACATAGTATCAGTACTCTTTGTTCAATTTTGCCTGTTTTACCCTTTTTTGATTTTCAGTGTATTCCAAACCATCCCATTTTCATCCAAACATGCATAATGGAGTTTTCCACATAAAACCTCATTCACACAAGTCCATTTCAACAATTTACATGCCAAAACGTAGTTTTAACAAAGATTTTTACAAAGACTCGTTTTCAAAAGTCATAACTCGGCTTTTCTTCATTGTTGAGGCGCCGAATGCGAGTCTTCCACCGGTACGAATCCTACGCCTGAAATGTGTTTTCGAATAGGGTGAGCCAACGCTCAGTAAAATCTTTCCTACAGAGGCTACTCCCCTCTTAGATGCATATGTAATGTGCACATGCAACCAATGAAAACCAATATCCATTCCAACAAAAACATGTAATTTAATGTTAAAAAAAAAATATCATAATGTCATGTCATGAAATGAGATGAGACTCACTCATGCACCTTGTCTCGAGTCCTCACCAACGTCCACAACAAAATACAATGCATGTGTGTAAAACATTTGTCCTTGATGAAATACATCCAAAGATCATTTTGAAATACAATCATACGTTCATAAAACTCATTCATTGTTAGATGTTTCCCATCAAATGAATTATTTATATAAACCAAAACCATGTGTCTTTGCTGAGTATCGGATTTTGGAATCACACTGTAGGCTCTGTACACCATTACACTTTTTCGGAATTTCACCTCAGGGGAGTGTATGAACCAAGTAGCCAGACCTTTCACCAGAGGGATTGTCTAGCCCTTCTTGTTATACCCAACACAAGTTTTTCATGCATGCAACCGTGCGACTCAGTGGAATCTTCAATCTTACTTTTTCGAGCTCACCCATCAAGCACCAAGTAGAGTGTTTGATTAAACCATGTACCCACACACCCACACTCGTGCATAAAACCCATGAATGTGATATCAACATCATGCCCAATATGCAATAATGTCAAATGAGTAATTTAACCACATATTTTGACATATGTCATGATAATTTACATCATAAGAATATAATTATCATTCTCTATCACAATGTCAACATACCACTGAACGTATACCAACTTTTATATCCAATTAATTCACAAGTATGCTACCACATAATCCATGTCAATAACACACTTAAATCACAAGACACATTATAAACATATAGCATGCCCACAGAAAAACCTAATTTCATGGAATTTCACAAGCACTTCCATATAACCAAATTAAGCTAGAAATTGGTCTAGACTATTTCTATACCTTTTTTTTTTTCTAATTTTCATGACTATATGTAAGTCATAAGTCATTCTATACATATAAACATTACATATGGACATCATAGGGTAGGGATTAATCAAAAGTAAGAGGAAACCTTACCTTTTGGAGCGTGATAGAAGTGGTAGAAACCTCTAGAACACCTCCCAAGTCCAAATCTTTAATTTTTCTAAAATCTCGTCTTTGAAACTTCGGTGAAATTCTTCGTTCTTGGTACGTACGCGAAGCCCTCGTTGCGTAGACCAACTTTAATTCTTGGTTCGATGAATTCTGACCGACTGAACTTCGTAGATCGGAAGAAGAAG